CTGACTTTTGCCTCTGCTTTGCCATTTCCCTCTACTGTTTCTTTATTGTTTTCCTTGTGATCTTCCTCTATTCTCTATCACAAGGGCATGAGTCTCATCTGTGCTCATGTCTTTCCTTCTTGCCTCCTCATTGAACAGTGCATCCTTGACCACAGACATGGTAAGTTTGCCATCTGGGGCTGAGCTACTGAGAGTAACAACTAGTGTCTCCCAACTATCAGGAAGAGAACTAAGAAGTAGTAGAGATTGCATTTCATCTCCAAGTGGCATTTCTACACAAGATAGTTGATTTACCAGACTCTGAAATTGACTAGTATGTTCGGCAGCAGAAGTTTCACTTTTGAGGTTCATATTGACAAGACGCCTCATCAGTAGGGCCTTGTTCCTAGCGATCTTGGCCTGGTACATATCTTCTAACTTCTTCCAAAGGGCATAAGCATCGGTTTCTTGTGCAACATTGTAACACTTGAGATTTAATATAAACGGATTAATAGTACTACTCATACCAACAGAGGTGCATCTCCTTTTAAGGGAGCTCATCATCCAAGAACTCCAAAGTTAAGCGTGCTTGCTCGGGAGTAGTCTTGGGATGGGTGACCCCCTGGGAAATTTCTCAGGGCGCGCACGAGTGAGGACAAAGTGCGCGTAAAAGGCTAGTGGCGGTTTGTGAGGACAGTACTAGACGTCTAGAGTAACTACTTTGGGTCCTGCGGGGCCGGGGTGTTACAGGTGGTATCAGAGCAACCCTACGACAGTGTGATGACCCGTTGGATATCGGGCGGGCACTTAGCGGGGGAAGATTCTGGGATTTGATTGAGATTTGAGATTGGTTCAAGGGCGCAACGAGGACGTTGCGATCCTAAGTGGGGGTGATTGTAACACTTGAGATTTAATATAAGTGGATTAATAGTACTACTCATACCAATAGAGGTGCATCTCCTTTTAAGGGAGCTCATCATCCAAGAACTCCAAAGTTAAGCGTGCTTACTTGGGAGTAGTCTTGGGATGGGTGACCCCCTGGGAAATTTCTCAGGGCGCGCACGAGTGAGGACAAAGTGCGCGTAAAAGGCTAGTGGCGGTTTGTGAGGACAGTACTATTGGTCCGGAGTAACTACCTCGGGTCCCACGGGGCCGGGGTGTTACAAACATGGTGGAAGACACTATGGTCAATCCATTGTCGGATTTGACCAATAGTTTTTCTATTAATTTTCTTCCACTCCGTTGACTTGGGCGGGTCAGGATTAATACCTTTCATCTCTATTGGATCAAAAAGATCTTTACAGCTAAGGAAATCTTCCATCCGAGGTTTCCATAGCGTGTAGTTGGTAGCCGTGAGCATAATCGTAGCTCCGGAAGATGAAGTTGACTCGTCAAAGGTCATTTTCACCTTCTAAATAATTTTGATTTTCTGTTTGAGAAAAATCGGAGCAGAATTTTGAAAAACGGGTAGCACTGTTGCGTCCGGAACGGCCGAAAATGGTGGGTAGGCACTTTCGGGGTCAAAATACAATTTCCAAAAAATTATAGGCCGAATTATAATTTTTCAAAAATTGAGGGACCAAAGTGCAATTTTCAAAATTCAAATACTGACCGGTGACGTGGTAGATGACGTGGCAGTGACGTGGCGCTGACTAGGCGATGACGTGGTAGCTGACTGAGCGCTGGTGGAAGGTGGCAGTGATCGGATGACGTGGCGGCTGAGTGTGCTCTGGCTGCACGCGTGGCGCTGACGCAGCTCTGCCTGGATGAGATGTCAGCGATGACGTCAGCCGTCTTCAACCTCTGGACTGACTGTACGTGATGACGCAGACAGTTTTTCGCCGGCTTTTGGTGGCGCGTACGGCAGCTTCCACTGGCCAAAAAATTCCCCAAAAATACCAGTTTTCTCGTCTCGACGAGACGAATCCAACGGTATACTCAGATTGCAATTCCGAGCAATACTAAAAAACTCGATTTCTCAGACAGTAGAATTTTGTCTGAAAAAATCTGCGAAAAATATCAAAAGCTCAACCAGGCTCTGATACCACTTGTTGGGAATAACAGGATCGTGCTAATATGAGAGAAAAACACTTCTATTACTTTCAAGAATAGAAAGAAGAGACATACAAGCTCTAACTAAAAACTCTCAAAACAACACCTCACATATCTCTCAAGGATATTCACAACTCAAACTTGGTTGTGCTATGATGATCTATTCTAATTTACTTGATCATAGAAAGACTCTCCAAGCTCTATTTATAGCACCAAAACTAGGTACTAGGAAGGTGGAAGGAAGATGTGTTGAAGCTAGGAGGAAGCTTCAATTGAGGTGTGAGGAAGGTGGTTTCTTGGTGTGAAGAAACTTCCCTTGTCATTCTTGCACATGGAGGAAGTTACATGGAAGCTAGGAATTGAATTCTTCACACATGTGGCAGTCCAATCATCAAAATTTTTGTTGACGTGGCATTCACATGAAAGTCCAGTAGGCCATTTGTTGATGACGTGGCGCACACGTGGACCACCATGTGTGCACCACGTCAACGGGTGACCTGCTGACATGGCAAGTAACCTGCAAATGTACTCAATTGAATGTTTTTACAAAGTTCGAGGATTTGATTGATTTTTTAAAAAGTATGAGGACCTAAATGACTTTTTCATGAAAGTACGAGAACAAAATTGAGAGTTTTCTCTTTTTATTATCTCACATTAGGCAATATAACTTGCGTTATCACGATGACTTTGATGGATGCATAGGCATTGTATGCTAGAAAATGTCTTCTTTGAGAAAATGTAGAGTAGCAGCCAAGGAGAAGAGGGCTTAACGTACAAATTGTTGAAGGCATAACCAGGGCAAGAGATAAGAGGGCATAATTGATATTTGAGCTACAAAAATCCAAATATTCATATAGTAATCCAAATTAGGCCAAAGTGAATTACAACATGTACTCTGACTAAAAATACAGTACTCCGCATTAAACTAGAACGTGACTTTAGGGTCATTAAATTTGAGCTCCCAATTTTGCATTTCTTGCGGGTATAAAGAAAGAATACAATGTTGTTTCGGTTTTTTGGAAGAATGTTATTAAATAGTCATGTTTTCAAAGTAGGACTTTGATAAGAAATCAAAGTTTTATTTTGAAAATAAAAAATAATTACTTCTTCTAAATAAGAACATGCCTTATTACAAATCAATATTTGCCTAAATTGGCTCTGTTTAAATAGTTTAAGATACCATAAAACAGTACAATCCCAATCAATTTTAGAGTGTTTTAGACCTGTATCCATTGATTTATTTTGTGTCCCAGACTCAATTTAAGACCTGACAAGTTTAGATAAATGTTCTACACTCGGGGATGTCCATAGCCTCAGTTATATATGCCCTCAAAGATTGGCTCAAACTAAACCCATATAAGTTATTGAATGTGAAAATGTAAGGGTTTTGTGTTCGATTGGTGTTCATAGTTCAAAACATGGGTGAGTCCGTGAGTATATTGGTTTTTATTCTCTTTTGATCAGTTTTTGGTTAGAAATGGGTTGGAAGAAAAATTATCAGAGAAAAACTATACTTTGTTTCAGTGTGATTGTATATTTGGTTTGGTTGGGTTTGGATTTGTTATTTTTTAAATATATATTAAGAATTGATCGAGTATCTTAGTTTGGTTCGGTTTTATTCGATTTTTCATAATTTCAGTTTGGTTTGGTTTACTTCAATTCGGAAAAAAACTTATCAAACTCAATTTGAATTGCATATATATGATTTGATTTCTGTTTGATTTACTTTAGTTTGATATGGTTCAGTTCAATCGTATCGAACCGATTTGCCCGCCCTAATTAAAAAGGCTGACGATTCGAGTTCCAAACCGATTAAGGGTATCTATCTAATTACTGAACCGATATTTTGGTTATCCAAATAACCATAGAGTAAATTCCCTAAATAGGACTAAAAAGTTGCAAAATTGCACAAATAGGACTACATTTTTTAAATTCCCTTAATAGGACTATTTATGTGTGTTTGGCCAAATATACCCTTGTAACTTGTGAAATGTTTTAATTAATAATAAAATCATACAAAAATAATAAAAATAAAAAAAAATACTAAAAATCGTAAAAAGATAATAGATAATTAATAAAAATATTTATTAAAAAAATAAAAAAATATATATTTTTAAAAAAAAAATAAAAAAAATAAAAAAAAATCGTAAAATTAAAAAAAAAAACATTACCACCCCTGCCACCCCCCAGCACCACCAGCTCCCATCACCGGGGAAAAATATGCCAACATTTTAAATAATGCCATAATGATGGCATATTCAATGAAAATGTTGGCATTTTGAAGAGTAATTATGCCATCTTTTTGGCATTTTCAGAAAAAGATGGCATTTTTTACCAAAAGTGGAAGAAATTTCACCAATTGGAGGTGGTGGTGCTGGGAGGCGGCGGATGGCGGTGGGAAATGTATCCATAATTTTTTTCATTTTTTATGGGTTTTTTACTATTTTTTATTATTTTTAAAAAAAATTAAAAAAATAAAAATTAAATTTTATATTTTATAAATGTTTTATAAATTTTTTACGTTTTTTAAATATTGTTTACGTTTTTTTATGATTTTATTATGAATTAAAGCATTTCATTATGAATTAATACTCTTAGGGGTATTTAGGGTAGATAATCTATGTTTAGTCATATTTAGGGAATTTAAAAAGTAGTAGTCCTATTTGTGCTTTTTAGGAACTCATTAGTCCTATTTAGGACAATTTCCGATAACCATAATCAAAATCGAACCATTCTGAAATGGGTAACGATTTGTCAACAATTGATATTTTAGATCATTTTATCAAAAACCAAAACAATAACCAAATTTCAATAAATAAATAAATAAATAAAACAAAATCTTTGAAATAATTTTCAACAAAATCATGGAGTACGTTAGGCATTTTTTTTCAAACAACCTTTTATTAATAAATAAAACGAAAATACATGGTAGGGGACAAAAGCCAAAACCTACCACATCAAATGACATACGGGTAGCTAATTGCATCAAACTTTACAATACCTACAAATTTGCAGTAAATGTTTGAGTTGCGTTCAAAGAAAACAGCATTACTAGCAACAAATCTAGCAGCACGATTACATATTTTATTGATGTGCGCAAAACGGAGATTGTCATTCTGGAACTTCTCTTTAAATCCTTTCAAATTAGCTAATGCTTTCCATCTGGGTTGTTTGGATCCTTGTAGAGTCCGGAGAACCTGTGAGTTATCACATTCGATAATAATGTTAGTGTAATGTTTCTCCCGAAGAAAACTCTTAAGATTGATGAAAATATCACAAACATTAGCAACAAGGTCCTCATTTTGATGCATGTGAGACTCAAGGTGAATAGGTTCGCCTTGATCATTCCTAATAATAATTCCCGAAAGAATATTCCCACCCTGCATATTTCCAATGGCAATGTTTATTTTGATGAAATCCTTGGGAGGGTTGTCCCAATGGGCAGTATGGGGTTTTTGAGTTTTGGGTTTCATCTTAGGGGTGATAAAGCTAATACCATCCAAGGGAGGGTTGACATGGATGGTGACGAACGGTCTGGCAATACTTACATCCTGAATTTCCTTATTAATAGTATTAATAGCCTCAATGACCGGAAGATCATTATCTTCAAAAACGTAAGCATTTCTCCTATTCCAAATAGTCCAACAAATATAAATTGCAACCTGGCTTTTAAGATTAGGAAAATCATCCGGAGCTGTAAACCAACTTTTCAGAACAACATTAAGAGTCTCATTTGTGTGAGTCCCAATTTGAAAAAGATTGTTGTAATGCAACCAGAGCTTATGGCTAAAATCGCAAGATATGTAACAATGATTTCTTGTGTCTAAGTTGTTACAGAAAGGGCATTTAAAGGGGCCGTGGTGACCGAAAAGTTGTAATTTTTCTTGAAAAGGTTGCAAATTATTAATTACCTTCCACATGAAAAATGATATTTTGGTCGGAATATTGTGCTTCCAAATCTGACTAGTAAGAGTATTAATGTCTCTTTTGGATCTAATTTCTTCATAGGCACTCTTAAACGAGTAGGAGCCATCGGGAGTAAGGGTCCAGACCATGGTGTCCTTGTGTGTGGAAAAGTGATGCTTAATACGGGAAATATTATCAACAATATAACCACGAAGCATTTTAGAAATAGTATGTAAGAAAGTAGGGTGAGAGTAAGCCTCCCTTATGGTTATTTCGGCGTGTAAAACTTCCTCATTGCCAAGATAATCCATAAGCCTTCCAAATTCAGTCCAGTTTGATCTCTAGAAAGTGCTATTACCATTGCAGACCACCAAGGTAGTGAGCCTATCAAAAGTATCCTTAACAGAAAGCAAACCTTTCCAAAGATAGGAATTAGATGGATTTTTAAGTTTAGAGACCCATAAACCCCAAAGACCTGTTTGGTTAGCAACTTTCCAGAAGCATTTAAGGTAAAAACAACTTTGGATAGTAAAAAGATCTCTAAAACCCAAACCATTCTCGTTAACCGGATAAGCCATGTTATTACAGTTGCGCCAAATTTGCCTTTTTTCAAAATTTGAAGTGTACCACAGGAATCTGGAACACTTTTGCTCAATTTTATGTACAATGGTTTTAGGAATGATCGAACTAGCCATGTGGAATAGAGGAATGGTGGTGAGGATTGAGTTAATGAGCGTAATACGCCCCCCATGGTTTAAAAATTTGTTTTTCCAGCCAGCAAGTGGAAGTTGGTGAAAACACCCAATTTACATAGTTGCTCTTGAGGTGGAAAGTTTCTCCATTTTCCGGTATGGGACAAAGGGATGTGGAAAGAAAAGTGAAAGCTGAAGCTTTGAATAAAAAACAACGGCAACGGGAATCGGACCCAGAACAACCGTTGTCGGAATACGTAGGGCAACTATCTCACTGAGGCGCTATGTTTCAATGTTTGTTCATCATTGATTCCATTTTAAATTATACGTAGTACTACATATACATTTAATAAAGGTCATGAACATTAATAATAACTATAATTATTAATTAATCAATCATTATAAATGTAAAAATGTCGGTTCGGTTCGGTTTGGCTCAGACCGATATTTTGGAATTATAAACTGAATTTTAACCTTTTTTTGTCTCAATTTCGTTTCCCAAATTATATCGGTTTGTTTGATTCGATTCGGTTTTTTCTCAAAGCGGTTCAGTTTTTTCGATTTGACTTTAGTTTTTTTCGGTTCAAAATGTCAGCCCTAGTTTGAAATGCTGAATTGCATGACACTGGCTTGTCCAGACTCCAGATCCACCACAAATCATATGACCATTTTAGAAATCATATATATTCTATATAGAAACGTTTTTTCAGTTTGTACGTTGTACATTCGCAAACAAAATTTATACCTTTCCAATTGCAACAGACTTCAGTAATATCATTCAAATACTTCCTAAATAATACTCCGTATTGAGCTTTTAATTGAACCTAACAAATTTGAATAAAAAACACCATTTTCTGCGTTATATCAACCACTGACTTTGATATTATTCGCATAACAAGAAACTTTCATATGATATGATAAATCTATTTCCATAAGTTTATAATTGCTAAGTCACTCATTTATAATTGACAGTGTAATGATTTGCAATTTCTACTCGTAACATTCGAGTGTGTGCATTATTAGTTCTATAACTTTACTCGCTTACATATTTGGTCCAATGATTAAGATGAAATTCATACCAATAACTCACACTTTTAACAGTTATACAATAATAATTCATACTGAAGTTAATATAAATAATTTGTACCCATACACACTTTCATATGAACAGATTATATGAAATGGAGGGTAAGGTAGCTGCATGATTTTAACTTTTCAGATTACTTTATATATATGTGCTGGATGAAATAATTAATTTTTTTCACATTTAATGCATTGGATGACTAACTTGAACTTCAAAAATTTTCTTTTCTAACATATACTAGCATAAGCTTTGGCAATCATCCCATCCACCCCCGTATCATTTCTTTTCTTCTTCTATGTGGACGACTGGTCACATATTGTTTTTTTTTCATATCAAACTTGATTGTTTTCACTCCCTATCCTAATGGTGTAGCATATGGATTTGATTATCTGTTTGTGAATACTAAATTGTATGATTAGAAAAATAACTAATTAGAATCCCTAATTTTAGAGGCGAAGAATTCCCAAATTAAGAGGAACATAATTATTTTAGTTCAAATACCAAAAAGTAAAATTGAATTCCTATATATATAGTGCGGCATCCTCATCAGATTCTTGTGGCCCCCATCCTGGACAAGCAAAAAAATAGGTAGGGGACAAAACTCAATCAATTGAATACTATATCAAAATTAGGTGCTTGTTTAAGATAGAAAAAATCTGTTAAAAGAGGGGAAAATTAAATGAGCTACACAGTGGCAGGGGATGGGGCATATGTAGAAGAAGAATGAAAAAAGTTAAGTAGGAGGTGGATCGTGAAAGGTGAGGAAGGAACATGAAACAAATTGATACCTCCGTTTCATTTTAAACTAATTATGTGAACACGTTTATGGATTATTTGTATCAATTTTTTGTATGAATTATTATTGCACAATCGCTAAATGTATGAATTATTAGTAAGAATTTCACTTATAACTAATACTAACTAATACTAGTATGTAGTAATTCTTTGCAATTTAAGGCACCATAAAGGACAATTTCGAGCATAAAACTTAATGCTGGTGACATATTTTTTAGTAAATTATCTGCCGGAAAGTGTAATTTCTAGTGGAAAAGTCCTTAAATGGTAATACTAAAGTCATACTCCATACGAAATTGTTATATACTTATATGGACACGTTAATGGTTATTCCAATGTCCACTCGTTCTCGATTAAAAATGTTGTAAGGGCTAACCATTTCGAGAATAATGCTTATTTCAAAAAGAATGCAACAATTAATCCTTTTTTCATGGTACTCGCTGAATCTTTGAACAATTAACCAAATAGGATTCACACCATATATACTCATGTTGCTCCTCCCACCACACATAAACACTACTTCCATTCCGTGAGATGGGGAAACTCATTAGGAGTAAGACCTTCATCATCTCCGTTGAAGAAATTAAACTCAGCACCTCCATTAATTTGTGAGTGTATGATACTCAATAAATTAGTAGTAAGAACTCCCTCTATCATTTCCCATGATGTGATTAAACTCAAGATTTCGCTCAAAGGGGAGACCGGGGGTAGGTGACCAATTACCAAGTAAGTCACATCACCTAGCACACGCAATGATTCATTCACTACATATTAGCAGTGTGGGTTAATCGGCTATGTTGTACTCCCTCCGTCCCAAAATGGTTGGCCAAATTTTCTTTTTTGGTCGTCCCAAAAAGATTGGTCATTTCCATTTAAAGTAAGGAATATGTGGCTAAAGTTAATTCTCTCTCCTCTGCACAAATTTTAACCACATAGTTTTTACTTTATTAATCCACGTGCAAGTCAACATTGGTCAACGATTTTGGGACGGAGGGAGTACTTCAGAATTGACCCATCGATCAAGTTTCAAAAGTTTGGTGTGACTCCATAATAAAACTTGCTAGAATTTATTCATAAAGACTCCATTCATTGGATAGCATTCCTAATAAATTGTTTAATCAAATTTCAGATCCAAATCCGATCGAGAAGGAAGTCAAATAAATTCTTGAAATTCCACTGGAATAGACCTTTAATGGCTTTGTCCGTACAGAGCCTCATGTACATCCATATGTACATGATCATTCCTCGTACTATGTATACTAATGAATGGCGATATAAATGTTACGTTAAAAGCTGAGATTTCAAAACCAACAAGCTCATTGGAACTTTGAGTGAAAGCAACCATTAATAGTTTATTCCAAACTTTGAAAAATTGAGTCAACACTTAATTAAATAATAGGGTATACCTTACTAAGAAAATTATCTGTTCGTTAGTGCATTTAAAAATAATGGAAAATGAAATAACAACCTAATAGATCTTTTTAGAAAACTAGTCTTCCACCCGTGCGTTGCACAGGATAATGCGGGATAACAAACTAAAAAATTACTTAAATGTTATTTAATGTGTTCAAATGTTATGACACAGTGTACTCAAGAGTGTGATTTATAACTTTCTCCTCGAGTAGAGTTGCACTAAGAAGCACATCAGTCATGAACCCTTATCAAAGACTTTCTCTACTCTTATAGATGGTAGAAACAAAGTTTACGTTGAGAGAGTCTCTCTCTAGCACTGTTGCTATTCGTAAACTTTTCTGGTTTTCTTCTCGATCGATCTCTTCTTCCGCCTTCGATTCCTGTTGTTTGAGCTTGGAGTTTACTGTTTTTACATTCCTACCTACTGTAGGGTGTATTTCTCTACATCTTTAGCTCCTTTCTGGTTCTGAAGGTGCACTTTCCCGTTTTGGAAAGTCGGCGACACTGTTCACGGTGTAAAGGTCAACGCTTGGATCTTCCACCCCTCTTGTTGATTCGTGTTTTTGAGCATGGATTGAGACTCCCTACTCCTGGAGGATCAAGCAACGTTTGGTTTCACCGTCATCAGTCCTGTTTTTAGTTTGACCGTACTCTGCTCCTCCAATCGGCTTCAACTCTGTTTTGTGAACTTTAGCTCCATGTGTGTGGGGGTGGGTTAATCCCAGATTACCCTCCCTTCCTTTTCTTCTCTTGGTTCATTATGCCGAGAGGGGGTAAGGTCAAGAAGAAGACAACTCCGGCTCCTACTAAGACATCCTCGAGACTCAAAGCTATAGCACAAGCTAAGGAGGGAGTGGACGCTAGTTTGGACAAGGTTATTGATAGGGAACCAACCTCTGGCCAAGAAAGGCATACTGACCAACCTTCCAATATAGCTTCCTCTGCTTCGGATAAACCAAGGGCTAACAATGGGGAGCCGTTTGAGGTAAACTCTATCCCTCTTTCCCAAAATATGATTGAA